GGTGTGGCAGACCTTTCCTGACCCGTCTGCTGCTCCCCTCAACTTCATTGATCTGCTTGTTCTGTTTCCCGCTCTGTCTCTGGTGAAGCCTCACCAACCCTGCAACTCTGGCTTGTACCCCAATTCTGTATGAATAAATAAATAAATCTTAAAAAAAAAGGAATTTGTCTTCAGCCTTAAAAAAAAAGAGAGAAAAAAAGAAAGAACCAACTCACAGCATTACTGAGGGTATGGAGAAAAGGAACCCTAGCACTCTGTGGGAATGTAGACTGGTCCAGCCCCTATGGGCAACAGCATAGAGGGTTCTCAAAGTACTGAAAAGAAACGTGCTATAAGATTCAGCCATTTCATTTCTACGTATCTACTCAAATAACATAAAATCACTAATGTGAAGGGGCATATGCAGCCTTATGTTAATTTACAGTACACTAACTATGGAAACAACCTAAGTAACCAGCAACAGATGAGTGGATAAATGTATACACACACATCATACACACACATGCATAGAATGCTACATGGCCATAAAAAAGAAATGAACTCTTGCCATTTGTGACAATATGGATGGAACTGAAGGGGACTACACTTAGCAAAATACATCAGAGTGAGAAAGACAAATAATGGATGGCTTCCCTCATGTGTGGAATATAGAAAACAAAGAAGGGAAGAAACAAAATTAAACTACAAAAATCTAACTCAGATTTGAGATGATGAGAAAGGGAGGGTGGGAACATGGTGGACATAGCTCCAGTGGACTGTAGTGGAAGACTTGTGGAGTTTTGGTGTAATCAAAAGTCTAATCCCCTAATCACATACAGTGCTGTAAAGCAATGCTGCTTCAGTAAAATTGATACCGTTTCTAAATAATTTCTAAGAAATCTTTTAGGAGGATAGTGAAAATCCAGAGTTTTCAATTTTTAAAATCTCATATCATTAAACATTCGAACATGCATCAAATTGGATTATATTTACTTGTAACAGATAATACTCTCAATTCCTATTTTAAGTATATTAAGTATAAGTTTAGATCCTTCTTTATTATTATCAAATAAAAATAAATGCATGTGAACATTCTTACGTTTTTCTTTCCATACCTAAAAGAACTTCACACATATTCCACCCAGAATATCTGTCATTTTGAAGATCTATGATCTTTATGGTTCATCCACAGCTGTCTCGATATATAGCTCTCTTAAATTTTTACCTGGAAATCAGGTTCTGAGTTAGAAAGGAGAAAGGGCTTAAAGTTCTATCTCTAGATAAAATAACACTTCATACAGCTATAAATCTGATATGAATTTATATGATCTAGCCATGTAATTTTACCATTATAAAATAATAAGTTTCCATTGTGCCACAACAAGCTTCAAGCTCCTGCTTTGAATTAAAAAAAAAGTTTCAACAACCATGTCAATTTTGAGTATCATTCGTTTGATACGTTACTGCAATTATCTATTCCTGTCACTAAGTTCATCATGGAATTGTCATCATGGAATGCACGGTGAGAACACTAACAAAGATCTTCTGGTATATCAGTTTATTAAACAAATAATTAAATAAACATAAATTTCTGGAGACAAGAATATTCTATTTATGACCATCTTTATTATTGAATGCATATCATAAATTACACATGTAAATAAAATCCAAGTGCAACATTTTCACAGTGTCTTGGTAATAAAAGCAAAAAGATGACATAAAAATGAAGCTAAGTAAGAGTTCCACTTCTGTGCCCTTTCAAATCAAAGTAGCTTCATCCTGGGGTACATGGATCCTCTTCATGGAATTACAGGCTAACAGGATTAGCTGTTAAACTGAGTGACAATAAAAACATGCAAACCACTTGAATATAGAAGTAATAATAATTACTATAACAATAATAACAGCATAGAAATAGTTCCATATTCAAAATCTCTCTTGTTGTAATAATTATATGTATATTTTAATATTAGAACCCAAATAACTTTATATAGGAAATATATGTATTTATCCTGAATTGTTTATTACAGTACTTAAAAGTGTTTACATATTGTACACTGATTTTATTGAACCCAGAGATTGATAAATGGGAGTTTCAGAGATAAGATTTTTCAAGAAAAGGTAAGTTCAGAGAGAAGACTGCTGTCTGGATGGCAGTGATAATGGCACTTTCTTAATTTAGATTTTTATCTGGAAACTGTTCAAGAATTGTAAGGAAAAGGCCAAAAGTAAAAGAAAACAAGCAGAGATCTAAAAAATGGCAGCTGTGCTTGTAGATATATTTCTTAGAACTTAGCATTCCCATTATAATAAGCAAAGTAGATGATTACTTACTATATGTAATCTGAAAAGCACTTCTTCAAAACATCTTTCCCTATATTCTGTTTCAGTGTCTGCAATTCTTCCATTAAAAGTGAGGGATTGGGCCCTCCCTGGTCGTGCAGCGGGTTAAAGCACCACTTTATGAAGCTCTCCAAAGCCACTGGAGCACAAGTTCGATCCCCGGCCAGGGAGCTGACACACAAGGCGCGGCAGACCTCTCCTGGCTTGCTCGCTGCTCCCCTCAGCAGTGTACTTCATCAATCTGCCTGTTCTGCTCCCCACTCTGTCTCTGGTGAACCCTCTCACCCACCACACCTCTGGCCTGTACCCCAGTTCTGTAAGCATAAATAAATAAATCTGTTTTAACAATCTCAAAAAAAAAAAAAGTGAAGGAGTAACACTTTGAATTAATGCCTATCGTCAATGTTTGGAATTCATCTATTCCTGGGCATTAAATTAAAATACTAAAATATTAATATTAAGATATTAAATTAGCATTAATTGGTACCACCTTATTACAAATAAATTTATTTGATTATTCAGTATAAGCACAAGGGAAGAGAACAGAAGACAAAAACCTGTAGATGGAGAGGACAGAGAAAGTAAATCATAGCACTTGCATATTTGAACACAAACATAGATGAGTAGGTCTAGGGAGAAAGCATAGTCATAGCTAAGAAAAATAAGACTATCAGACACTTGCCTTCTCCTCGAATGACATAAATGAGTTCCAAGTGTTTTGGGGCTGACTAATAAATGGAATCTAACCAACAATTTCTCTAAGAATTCCAGTAATCTGGAGGCAGTCTCCTTCCTCTAAAAGTCTAGATGTGTTCAAAGTGAAATTAATATGTTGATAAAATTAAATCACCGGTCTCCCAAATCGACTTAAGAAATGTAATTCATATTAATCTACAGAATATCAAACACATACTGGACAGACAAACTTTACCATTATAAGTACTCACAGAATTGCTACTTGTGATCTATCTCATTACAACACTAAATTATATTCATACACAAATTGCTTTTAAGCAGACCAGACATAGTTACAATCACACATTTAAAACACAATTTAACACTCATTTAATATATCAAAATATGCACCTTACAATGAATAATTAGGAGATAAATAGATACACTATTGCTAGCAGCACAAATTTAGTCTTCTAATAAGGTATTATTTTAATAATCAAGTGCAAGCAAAAATCATCACTTGTCCAGACAACCCATTAGACAATATTCTATTGATTTTAGTTATTAGTATTCACTTTGACTTCACCAGTTTTGCCTTATTCAGATGAGTACAATAACTGACTGAATAAAAACAATTTTCTTCATCTAAATATGATGGAACATATTGAAAACATTTTTAAGAAGGTTAAACAAATAACATGATTGTGTTAAAACATGTGGCAAGGTAATATAGTATTAATGCCTCTGGTTTACTACTCATATTCTATGTCTCTTTCCTACATAACAAATACAAAGCATGTAGCAAGTAAGGCATTGTAATGGGGGGTCCTTTGCTGCGACAGTTATTATTCTGCTTTTTTCTCAAATGGTGGGAAAAAATTCCTCCCCTAGCTGCTAAGAGGTAGAAGCTGTAGGCCTAAGAATGGTATGACTGAGGCAAATCTGGACCAGAAAAATTAATGAAGACTCTAGGGTTCACATGCCTATCTGCCTCCAGATTTTACACTGGCTCTTGAATGTGACTTGACAGTTGCTACCTAGCTTAGCTTAAGTAAGACATACAGTGTGGTGAGTCTTTTGAAAGGGCTAACCTACTCTACTTCATCGCTTTGCTCTGGTCTAACCTTAGTGATTAATTAGTGCACTACTTCTTCTGTATACTCAGAAAGTATAGTAACATTTCAGAGGGACCTCAATGTCACTCTAGAAGCACGGTGGAAAGCCTCTCCATTATACGGTACATATATCTCCAGAGTTGTTCTTTGGAAATAGTTTTGGTGAAGCAGAACTCTGCTCATCACATATTTGCTGTCTCTTAGGACTATAGAAAAACTGTGAAGACTGACAAGCTCTCTTCTCCTGATAGAGTCAATGGCATCTTTTGAAGTTATAGAGTCATATGTGAATCTTTACTTTGTTCTTACTTTAAACATACCAGAGGTCTGAGCTAAGATTTTCAATCTATGAATATGTGTGACAGATAATGTTCTATGCTGACATTTAATTGAAGGAAATAGCTATTTGAGTCATCAAACCTTAGAAAGAAATCACACATAGGAGACAAAAATTGTTCCCTCTTTCTAATATTTTTTTAACAGAATAACATATTATACATTGTACCTAAAATGCACACAACATATAATACTGAACTATAAACCATAATTGGTAATTTAAATATTGCTTCAAAATTCAAACTCAATGTCCATTGTAACAAAATGAAGTGTTTGTGATGACCCCAAGCCAATAGTCTCTGTTTCTTATGTTCTCATACAAAACTACTTACCCTAGTCGAAATTATATGTGTACAGAATGTTACTGAATTTCTATCATTTGAATCTTAAACAATGGACAAGTTATTACATGGGAATGTCAATATTAATGATCATGAATCATAATGTTCTAAATAGATTTTCTTACAAAATGTGAATTCCTCCTATAGGTAAAATTGAACATAACTGAATAGCTGCTAGTGTTCCCTGTGATTACTTCTCAGTGACCTAGGGAATTGCAAATGTGTTGTTATACTTACATTTCAAAACACATTGAGTTTTTTTTTTATTTAGCATAATTCAGTTGTCAGGGTAGACACTGTATGGTTGCTCACAAGGGATTTTGAATGGAGTTGGATGCTGTCATGCAAATCTTGTCTTGAAAGTCGTCTTCTAAACTCATCAGTGGTGAAGTAGTATATGACTGGATCAAGGCATGAATTCAGACTAGCAAGACACAGGGCAACAGAATGAAATATTATAATCACTCTTCTTACTAGGCAGCTTTTAATATTATTGGACTTGACCAGGAAATCCAAAGGAAAACTGAAGTGATATGGTGCAAAGCAAATTAAGAATACTCCTGCACAGGTTAGAATCATCTTTAAAGCTTTCTTTTTCTCTCCAAAGTCTTGCAACACAGGATATTTATCTTGCAGTGATAAAACTGTCTTCCAGGTACAATATAGGATGACCATAAGAGGAGTGACAAATCCAATCATTTCACCAATGGTCATGATGGCAACTGACTGGACCAGATTGACAGTCCTGGTAGGAAGATCCACAAAGCATTTGGTTTTGTTGTCTGAAGTACTATCATCATTGATTCTGAGGAGAGGAAAAATAAGACAGGCAAGGCAGATAATCAGCCAGCCAGCAACACTGATATATAGGTCATATTTCTGTTTGCAGTCATGATAACGTAAGGGGTAGATGAGAAAACAAAATCTTCGCACACTGATGCAGACCAAAAAGTAAATGCTTGCATACATGTTGACATACTTCAGGTAGAAACAGAACATGCAGAGGACAGGCCCAAACGGCCAGTCATAATTCAAGTAGTAAAAGATCCTCAGTGGCAGGGAAAGAACTTGTAGTAAGTCAGCAAGGGCTAAGTTTATCATGTATATCACAGCCCTTTTGGTCTCCTTCATATAGCCGTAAAATACCCACAAGGCTAATATGTTTCCTATGAGACCTGGCACAAGAATAACAGTGTATGTCACCGCATATATAAAGTATCTAAAATCTGTATTATCTCCATTTGGACCCACACATGTCTCATTAGCAGACATGTTTCTTTCTGGAGGAATTGTCTAGAGCAATGCCAAATCGTGGTTCAAAACTTAAATTGGCAATTAACTGCTGTTCTTTCTGGGAAAATGATCCTCAATGGTTTGGAGAAACTGAGTATTAAACAATTATTTTTATTTCTCTACTGCATTAATCTGAGCCTCTACACATGATTTGACTACCTGCATGTTTAGTTTGGATTTGTTTACAGTAACTACAGGGAGGTCTGGTGGGTAAGCACATATGACAACTACTTTTTTATTCTATTATATTTGGGTACATCAGGACAGTTGATCCTCTCCAATTTGGGTCATGAATGTGCTATATAGCAGATCTTCAAATTCCCATATGATAACAGCCATGTCTTTGCAGGATTTTTTTTTTTTTGTCGCTTTTGGCTCACATAGAAGAAATGTTTGCTTTAGCACTCTTGATCCGCAACTCTTCAGAGATATTAACTTGGACAGATCAGTTTTCTGGGACTCTCCCAAATGTGTTGAAAGCTAAAAAATGACAAACGCAGAGCTGCAAGTGAAAAAAAAAAGGCAATTATTTTTCTGGCACTTTTTTTAAAATAAGTTTATATGTGAAAAAAATATATTCATTTGACTGGAGAGTTCTGATGTGATTGAGGGTAGTAAACCACAGTTTCTTTAAAACTGCAGGTAAGTATAACTCAAAGGACCTGAGACAGAAGCTGGCCTTTACTATTTAAAATGTCACTTGTGAAGTAACATTAATTGAGAGCTTGTTAAAAGTGCAGAAGAATCTCATACCCCTCTTTGGTCCTGCTGATTAAGAGTCTGTGGAATAACCAGAACCACAAGTGATTGAGAAGCTCCAATTCAAAACATTGCTTCACACACCTCATTGATTATCAGCTGCATCTAAGGAAGCATTTTTTGTTTACTTATTTTTTAAATACAGCTTTCCTGGGGTCGCCTCAAGAGATTTTGATTCAGTGCATAGTGTCCCAAATGTACATTTTTTAAAAAGCTCTTCATATGATTCAGATACAGTCAACTCAGCATTTGTCCCTGATCCATCATTTGGGGGCCACTGACTTGGCCAAATCTTCCCAGATGTTTGAAAACAAGTGAGCAACCAACCTCTCTTTAAATACTTATATTTACATGGATCATTTAGTCACCTCTCTGTTATCCAAGACAACAGACCATAGCACCAGTTCAGAGAATTAAAATCCCCATAAAGTTTATTCAGCTGAGCCTGTGACCTTTGTTCTGAGGTAAACAAATTTTAGCTTAGGGACCTGGATAATTGCCTTAAAGCTGCTGAAATCCAGAGCACTTAATTGACTTTAAAGATATGTGGGAAAAACAAAAATGTAATAGGAGTTATGAAACATCCTGCTTTGGTTTATCAAATCCATGTGGTTGTAAGTGTGCTTAATGCAGCCCCCAAAAGAAATCTGTTATTTTATGTTAATTGTATGATAAGTAAAATAGCATTCTCTGTTCAAAAATATGATATTCACATTAATAAATTAAAATGTTTGCATGAGTAACATCTTTAAAGACATCACCTAAAGCAAAGAAAATGACAGGAGAGAGAAAGACTTGGGATGACATCAAATTAAAGTGCTTCTATACAGCAAAAGAGACATTAGCCAAAACAAAGAGACATCCTATTGATTAGAAAATTTTTGCACATCATATGAACAACAAAGGATTGATCACAAAGATCTACAGAGAGCTAATGAAGCTCAACAAGAACAAAGTAGCATAGTCAAATAGTGGGCAGAAGAGCTAAAAAGACACTTTCCAAAGAAGAAATGCAAATAGTCAATAGGCATATGAAAAAATGTTCAACATAATTTGTAATTGGGGAAATGCAAATCAAAAACCACAATGTTATATCACCTTACACTAGTGAGAATGGTACTAATTAAAAAAAACTAGCAACAAATGTTGGTGAGGATGTGGAGAAAAAGGAAATCTCCTATACTGTTGGTGGGAATGCAAACTGGTCCATCCACTATGGAGAGCTGTGTGGAGGTTCCTCAAACTGCTAAAAAATGGAGCTCCCTTCTGACCCAGCAATTCCACTCTTAGGAATCTACCCAAAGGACACAAAAACATTAATTCAAAAGGACACAATCACCCCTATGTTTATTGCAGCACGATTTACAATAGGTAAGCTATACACACAATCCAGGTGCCCCAAAATAGATTCCTGGATCAAGATGATGTGATACACACACACACACACACACACACACATATCACACAATGGAATATTACTCAACAATGAAAAATGATAAGCTCATGCCTTTTGCATAAACATGGATGGAGCTGAAAGGGATTATGCTCAGTGAAATAAGTCAAAAGAGAAAGAAAAATATCAAGTGGTCTCACTTATAAGAGAACTGTAGAGAAATTTAAAAAATCAGAAAAAATGTAACTATAATAGAATCAAAATCAAAATCATCAGGTAACTATAGATAAGAGACATTCTGCAGGGTAGGAGGAGGGAGAAGGACCAGGACAGTTATGTGAAGAAAATAGGGGACTATGATGAAGGTGAACAGGTGAATTGGTGATGAAAATTTAACAAGGAAACCATATACTGTACAAAAATGAAGGGAGACATAATGAATATATTAAACATCAATAAAATAAATAAAAGTAACTTCATTAAAAAATAAAATAAAAGGTCTGGTGAGTGATACACAGTATGCATTTATATTGAACAGGCAAATACTTAAGATTTTTCAGAAAAGAATTAGAGGGATGATGTTATAAAACACAGAGAAGTAGGGCCCTCCCTGGTGTCTCAAGGGGTTTAAGTGCAGCCCTATGAAGCTATCACTAGCCACTACAGCATAAGTTTCATCCCCATTCAGGGAGGTGACCCACATGGTGCAGCAGACATCTTCTGTCTCACTGCTTCTCCCCTCAGTGGTGTATTTCAGTCAATCTGCCTGTTCTGTTTCCCCACTCTGTCTCTGGTGAAGCCTCTCACTTCCCACACCTTGGGTCTGTACCCCAGTTGTTGTATGCATAAATAAATAAATCTTAAATAATAAAACACAGAGAAGTATAACTGTAAACAGAAGCATCGATATTAAAAGAGTTGCTAAAATTAGACTGTTCGGCTCCCAAATTGAAAAACATCTTTGAAATATTTTCATTGCTCGTGATTTTGAGTAGAAGATAAACAAATTCAAGCGGCAGACCATGTCTTTTTAAGTACTTACATAAAAGTCATCACCTGCTAAACTCTTGCTCTCAAGCACATTCTTGCCTCAGAACCTCTGAGGTGGCCGTTCCCTGTGCAAAATGTCCAGTTATTTGTTTGGATCACTCTCTTTCTCCTGCAGATCTCTACCCAAATGTCAAGTTTTCATTAAGTTTCCTCAAACTTCTTATTTATTTTTTTTTTTAATTTCTTGTTTATTTTTTTCACTGCATAAGATTTCTCCCCTGAGGGAAGTACGCTGGACTATGGTGATGGCACATGGGTGACTTGGTGACAGGGAACCCACGAAGATTAAAATTGAGATGAAAAAAATGTACAAAATGATGTAAATATAAACGATTATATTATTAAAAAAAAAAAAAGATTTCTCCCCTCAGGTGTAGTTACCATAGATTTCCTACCAACAAAATACCCATAGTCCTCCACCATATTCCTGGCCATGCTCTCCTCCCCACTATTCTCCACTCTTTCCCCTCCTCTCCCACTCTCTCCCCTTCTGAATGTCCCAAATCTATGTTCTACTTTTAAGGCCTAATCTTAGAGCTTGTCTTTTTCTGACCCTTTGCTTGATTTCACAAGATTCTAAATATAAGTAAAACTACTGGGTATTTATCTATCTCCTGCCTCACTGTTCACTTTTATTTAAAACTGCAGCTTCCCCGAAACTCCTGATAGTTCCTTCAGCATCTATTTTATTCATTATCAATCTTAAAGAGCATATTCTGGTTGTTTACTTACTTTTTAAAAATATATTTTCTCAATACCAACTGGTTTCATTCATAGCAGGAGTATAGAGGACCAGGGAAGAAAATAATAATAATAATAATGAACAACTATACACCAGAGACATTTTATGGGGGTGGAGTGGGGAATGGGATAAAAAATGAGGGGCAGATTGCACTGGACTGTGGTGATGGCACACAGGTGATTTGGTGATGGGAAGCCCACAGGGATTACAACTGAGATGGAAAAAGGCACACAATGATGTAAAAATAAACTATTGTATTATTAAAAAATATGTATTTATATATACATATATATGTATGTATTTCTCTGCTAGAATGTAAGCTTCACAAGGATCAAGATTTATGTGTGCTTTTGTTTTTTTTGTGTTTTCTAGAACCAATTATTTTGAAAGACACAAAGTAAATGTTCACTATCTGTTAAATGAAATAATTTTAGTATAAAAATTATTTGACTATAAATATCAAAATATCTCAAACAAAAATTATTATCTCTCAGAACTTTAAAGCAGGTTCTGTTCTAGACTTCCTTATTATTATCAAGTTCACCAATATTTCCCAAGTTTTCTTAAAGTTGTGACATTGAATGTTACTTATGTTCTACTTACAAGCATGTTGCTAAGGGGGGAGATACTATATTATAGAGAAAATAATGTATGTCAAGAGTCAGGATAATCTGGGTTTAAATTCTCACTCTTCCAATTAACAGTTGTGTAACCTTCAGTTCATCATTAAACCTCTTTTCCTTAATATTTTCATTAATAAAACTGAGAATAATTATAGTACCAGTTCATAGTTACTGTGAGAATTAACTCAGCTAATGTATGAAATCTATTAAGTATAGTGTCTGGTATATACTGCATGTTCAATGAAAATTAGTAATTATAAATGATATAATTATTACTATTTTCTGTACCTGCATTACTTTTTACAACCATCTCATTTTTTTTTTTTTAGGATTTATTTATTTGTGCATGTAGAACTGGGTACAGGCCAGAGGTGCAGGGGCAGTGAAAGGATTCACCAGAGGCAGAGTGGGGGGCAGAATCAACGAAGTACACTGCTAAGGGTCAGGA